GATTTGAAACTTGAATCTACAGTACCTGAGGATTCTTCCATATCAATATGATTAATCATGGCTTTGTTGTTCTTGAGATGAAGAAGAAAAAAACATCTAAAACCTTGAAAAAAAAGTTATTAGAATATTCAAATGAAATTCAGTAAAACCCTTACTATATCAATACTCAAATGAAATTCAAGTTCATGTTCATAGAACTCCATAAAGGTTCGGGCTCAAATGGTAGTACTCCAAATATATTGCGATTAATTAAGTATGAATCATATATTTTTTTCTTTGATCGCGATCGAGGTCTCAGAGAAAACTTGGACAGAAAACTACATCAATCTGTCAAAGTTTTTATACCCCTATCAAAGAAAAAAATTATATTTCTTACCATTTAATATTTATTTTTCAATGATGACATTTAACATGAAGATTATTGATTGTCCAACATATATAGTGTAGCTTTAACAAAATTTTACCTAAATACATGTATTTAAACGTGGAGTAATATATGGCCGTAGGAACCGGGGAGGGGGGGGGAGCGTGCCCCCCAATAATTTTGCCGATATATAGATTACTGTAGAAAACATTCCTACTATATGTTTGTGCCCCCTCAATATAAACGTTTGATGACCTTTTTTTTTTAAATTTATTTTTTAATTTTTATTTTATTTTATTTCTATTTATTTATTTTTATTTATTTTTTTTTTTTGCTTGTCAAGAAATTTTGGTTGATAGTGCCCCCTCAACTGAAAATATATGGCTGTGCCCCCCCCCCCAAAAAAAAAAATGAAATTGCCTCCTAAGGGCCTGCAACAAATGACTTTCACAAATTGTCCTGTCATTACAAGCAGATTCTAATTGTAACACAAAAATGACTTACCATTTGTATTATTGTTTTTTTGTTTGTTTTTTTTTTTTGTTTTTTTGTTTTGTTTTGTTTTTTTTTTTTTTGCTATATCCTACTGAGTATGTATCTCCTGTACGGTGTTTTAAGCTTTGTAAATGCAAGGGGAAGCTACTCCAAACCCTGACAACTCTTTCTAGGTCACTAAAATTTTGAATTTCATTTGCGCAACACTTCACCTTAATTTCAAACGCAACATATACTAGTATTATACGTTTCAACTTATGTCCTTACATTTTACCTGGCTGTAAAATCTGGTAGAGTCTCTTGCCGATTGTATAACACTAAAAAGATTCCGTCCTTGCTCCGGTGTTATTCAAAAAGAAAAAGTAGAAATTGACAGGAACCTATCGGACAAATTTTGAAATTAAAGAAAATATCTAATTTTACTTTCCCAAAGTACTCAGAAATACGTAAAGTCAGTCATTATGCATGTGTATTTCCCTAGGTTCTCGATACAAAAATATCCATTTTCGTACAACAATCATGGTCGGCGTTAGGTTGTAAAGAAGAAAATGTCTTTCGATGTTTAAGTCTTGACAACACTGTGATTGTTATTTTCAGTTTCCTGCCAAACTACTCATTAAAAGTTAGAAAGACTAATAAGGCGGTTAGACAGAATTTTATTATGAAAATCTACCTATTAATGACACTGGTCTGAAGAATCAGCTGGGTGAGTCTAGTCGGTAATTAAAACAAAGGCTCATGGGCTGCGTCACTCACCTAAGCAATTCGGTTACAGAAAAGCAGAAATCAGTTTAGTATTGAAAAGTTGAATTGCATAAGTGGTTTCACATTCCCAGGAGGGGGCAAGGGAGAGAGTCATGAGGTGAACAAGTTTAATTAAGCATTGACTGAAAATGCTTTTAGTTTCAAATGACTAATCATGGATTTTAAACATTTTTATAGAATCTCCCTTATAAATTCCTAAGTAAAAATTGGATAGCCCATGTTGGTCCACGGGGGACTTGTTTTGAACAAGCTTGAATCCGCATTACCTGAGTATACTTCCATATTAATATGACCAATCACAGCTTTACTGTTATTCAGGGGAATATTTTTAAAGAATTTCCTTCATATTCCTATGTAAAACTGATTATTTGATGAAACATGAACCTTCACTACCTGGGGATGCTTTTATATAAATTTGAATACATGTAATCATGACTCCACTGTTCATGAGAATTTTCCCAAAATCCCTATGTAGAACTTTGATCGCCAATTATGGCCCCACCCTACCCCTGGGGTCATTATTTGAACAAACTTTAATTTACGCTACCCGGAGATGCTTCCATATGAATATAACTTATCATGGCATTGATGCTCTTAAATTTTTTTTCCCTATGTATTCCCATGTAAAGCTTTGTAAAACCATTGTGGCCCCATCCTACACTCAGACGTCATGATTTGAATAAATTTCAATCTATACTAACTGATGATGCTTCCATATAAATATTACTTTTCATGGCTTTGCCCTAGCCCGGGTAGTCATGATCTGAATAAATCCTTAGTCTACATTAAGAAATGAACATTTTGCATAAGTTTCATCTTTTCTGGCCCATTGGTTATTGAGAAGATTGTTAAAAGATGAATTTCTTTTCAATAATTCTTTATTAGATCCCCTTGAAAGAAAACGCAACTCTTCATTAGATCAAACTTTAATCCCCTTCACCATTGGGTAGTTTGTGGCAGGTTTGGTTGGAAATGGCACGTTGGTTCTTGAGAAGAAGTTGAACAGTTTACAGACTACATACGACAAACGGACGCCGAACAATCTTCAATCAGAAAAGCTTGATCATTCGGCTCAGGTAAGCTTATAAAAGGTTATGCCTATTCGTTAAGGAGCTTGTGTATTATTCATTTGAAGGGATTTTATGGGAATAATGATTTTCATTTACTGAGTAAACTAATAGTAAAATTAAATCTTGATCTCTATCAGTTGATCATATATATCGGAGTGAGTACTCTACCGATGGCGCTACATGAGGCTTGTAAATATTGGTTAAGATATTTTTATTTTTTATGCAATTGCAGGCAGATTATTTTTTATGAGATGACCAGGGATATATTTTATCGTTTTAACAAAACAAGGAAGAGGTGGACTGCAAATGCTCATGAATTCGAAATTTCATCTTTGCTAGCAAAGAGTCCTAATTCCTTACAGTTACTCACAAATCAGATGACTGATGGTCCATAAATCAATATCAGATTACCTATTTTATTGCCTTAGGAGGACAGAGGCAAAGAGAGCTTATTCATTTTTATTTTTCCAAAAACGCAAGCTCCCCTGTCCATACTTATCAAATTTCCCCTATGAAAGTCATTTATTTTTTGGATATTGTATTAATTTTAAGTGACACTGAAACTAAACTGATATTTTTGTCATTTTCATGAATCATTTACACTTTGCCTAAGAGAATAGCCAAAGTGGATTGAAATTCAACTGCAAACAAGAAGTTCAATCCAATGTTTACTCAAACGTCCGCAAAAAACTCATTGCAGACGTCTGAGAAAACATTCGATTCAATATAATGATTTCCCAGACGTACGCCATCAATTATGATTAATGTTTTCTCAGACGTTCGCGATTAATTCGATGCGGACGTTTGCGAAAACATCAGATTGAAATTCTATTTCTCTAAAAATATTTCAATCCAGTGTTGAAAACAGAGGAATATCTCGAGTTTTCATGTATCAATTTTCAAACATATTATATATTAAGAATGTTGAAAAGAATATATGTTATTCTTGTAAACTTCATTAAAAAGTATTGAGAAACTTAAAAATTGAAAAATTCGACCTTTATAAATTGCTTCCGGTAGCGACCGGAAGTGCCTACAAAGAACAAAAAGTCACGTCCTGGCTAGAATCTATCACGATTTATAATCCCTGAAAGTTTAACATTGAAATCTTCATCCTTTACTCAGATTATCTCATTTTAAAATCAGAAAATGGTCCGTATCTTAGAACCGGAAGTAATATTTCTAAATTCCTCATGGACAAAATTACTTCAGAATACGGCACACTGTTCCTGAAAATTTTAATTAAATCCACGCAATAGTCTTTAGAAATCGCGTGCACAAAATAAGAAGGTCAGAACAATCATACCAATAGTATCACAGTATATCTTGTCTATTTATCATATCTTGTTCCAATATGATATGTATATAAATGCTTGTAAACGATTAAAGGGGAAAAAACTTAGAAGAACAATCAAATAATTAAAAGATGTAGCAACACTATAAAGTCTTCCGTGAAGAAAGAATAAGAAGAAAAAATAGAATGAAATTTGATATGTAAATCATACTATCAATAGATTTTGAAATAATTTTTGTGAATTTATTGGATTTAGTTTTCGCTGTTTAGTCTTAAGTTAATCGTGCTAGATGGCTTCAAGGTTTTAATATTTTTAAGCATAAAATCCTCCATTTTCAAAAATAGATAGCGGGAACATTCAAAGCTAACTAAATAGTCTTTTTGACACGCTCACTTTCATTTTGCTTCAAAAGAGCCATTCTCAATCAAATCAGTTTGAAATCATTCATGAAATGTTAAGTGAAGGTTAGGTAGATGTAACACGATGTGATTTTTTCATTTAAATTTCTATTCGATTTTCCCATCATATTTGCCTTTTTGCTAATGCTGTACCGTGTTCAAAAGTTATCTATATATAGGCAAAAATATTGGGGGAGGGGCACACCCCCGTGCTCCCTCCGGTTCCTAAGGCCATGAAAAAGTTATAAGAGAAAATAAAATGCAAAATTTTGTCTGACCACCCCAACAATCGACCCCATTTCATTTTCCTAAGCTAGTCGAATGAATCATATGAAAACTCGCTTGGTTTGGCTACATTTTTAAGGAAAACTTAATTGTTGTTTTTTGTCAAGTGAAGTATGTAAATCATGATCAGTACTTTATTCAATCTTTTTGGCTACTTATGTGTATGCAAATCTGACTATTCCTTATCTACAATCTGAATTTTCTGTTTGTTTAAATAGATAATCAAAATTTATCTATATTGCACAATTTGACACAAATTGACTTAAAGATAATTTGATAAAATTGTTTGTCCTATTCATAAGATTTTACAATGCTATAGTTTGTTCTTTCAGAACAAAATATGCCCTGAGAAATAACACCAATCACCAATGACTGCTTTTCCGTTGGTGGAATAAGTTTGAATCCAGACCGTCTGATTGGCCTTCATTTGCACGATTGCTGAAGATGAACACTGACCATGCTCTTGATTGTTCGTAATATCTGCACAATAGTTGACACCCATAGTTGAGCCTTCTCTTACTAACAACGTGATAAATCTTTTACTAACTCCTGCAAGTGTAGTCCAGTCAAAATGGTATATTCCGTCAATAGGTGCTGTGAACTTGCCACTCTTTGTATTGTATGCGTTGCCCTTGTTCAAAAGTATCTCCTCAAATAGTACTACTTGGTTACTTCCCAGATTATATTTTGAAGACGTCATCTTCGCATGAAACGCCACAGTTGATTTGAGTTGTTTTGAGCCTTAAGATGCAAAAAAAAAGATATTAAATGTCATTAGATAATAGCGTGTATGTAAAAGTATTTCTTCAGTGCTTCAAAAATTTAAAGTTATTGATCAGTGAAGGATGAAAATACAACAAGAAAGAAGGGCGACACCAATTTAATATCTTGTTTCGGACCTGTGCGCTCGTATTTAAAAGGAATGTAAAAATTAATATTTCAAAATTCCCGCTTCCGGATTTTTCCATTATGGTCATAACTGTGCGTAAAATATTCAAGTAAAGTTTGATGTCAGCAAAATCAGAGATTTTTCTGAGAGAATTTTCAAGAGTAGGAAAACTTATTTGACAGTCTCTGTTCCTATTGTAAAAATAACAGAAAAAGGAGGCGTACTTTTATATATTATAACCGATTGCTTCAATGGTGGATGGTAACATTAACTGTTTAAAAAGTGCTTCTTAGAGTTACAAAAAATAAATAAACCTATCCATTGAAGAAGATAGTAGATCTATTTTTGTAAAGGCAGATTATTTCAACATTGCATCATGGGGTAAACGCTTAGATTTAAGTGCAAGGAATTATTATAGATAAGAACGTACAATGTACACATATATAAATCTCTATATCTACACGTATATCATTTCTAGGAAAAGAGAACATGGGACACTTCTGAATTGCTGCTTGAACAAGTTATGGAGCTATTTATGTCTCTAGCTTAAAAAAAAAACCATTCCCCCGAGGTTTAGTGTTGCTTTCTGAATTTCTACAGTTAAAACACACTCAACTCTTACAACCAAGAACCGATTATATAGTGCAGATATGTGTGGATCGGATTCATCAAGTAGGTCGTCAGCTGAACCAGAGTGTATAACATTGGTGGTTGATTTATTGATTGTATGTTGTTTTACGTCCAATTTGAGAATTTTTCACTCATATAGATACGTTTCCATATAGCGGTGAAGGGCTTCAAATTTTGAACTTTACTCGGCGCTCAGGGTCATTGAGCAGTGAGGGATCTTTATCGTGCCAACGCCTGCCGTGACACGGGGCCTCATTTTTTAAGGTCTCACCCGAAGGACCCGCAACTTTCACTTCAAAGTGCCGAGCGCATGGCGAAGGAACAGTTGCTACCCATTTTTTTTATCGACTTAGGAAAGTCGCGGCCGAGATTCCAACTCACGACCTCCCGATCAGGAGGGAGCGCGCTACCGATTGAGCTACCGTTTACGGTCTGGAGGTTGATAATACCTCCTTTACACCATAGAATAATCGGAAATATGTAACAGCATCCTTGACAAATAATTCCAAATAGTCATGGTCAACTGTAACTAAGGATCTGCCTGCCACAAGAAAAGTATCTGTCTACCTTGATTCATTGGACTAACTTCTCATAAAATCAGAAATAATTTTTGACACTGCTTTCCAAAATATATCAATAAACTATTGAAAATAAGCCGTTTCTATATTGCAAATGTAGCAAAGTTCCATTTTACAATAACTTATATTTTGAGTTCTGTTTTATTACAGCGCATATATTTGTGTATTACTATATATTAACTTACAAATACTGATATCAATTGTGAATGAAAATTAGTTGAAGCATACTTATTGAAAATTCTATTGTGGCCCTGTAATATTTTTTTTTTCATTCTGAGATTTATTTACAAGTTGTTGCTCAATGATAAGTCTAGCTCTGTTATTATGTCCAAGTACAAAAAAGAACAGTGATAGTATTGTTGGGAGAATTGGCCTTTTTATGTACAAGTATTTAGTTTTGACCAATTAAGCATGCAAATGTCTATGAGTACATTTTTCATATTATGTGTATCATTTATTGAAGATTGATTTACATTTTTATATTTGAAGAACTTTTATCAAATGTTCCATAATGCTTTGATATGAAGTTAAAAGAATCATTTTTAACTGATTTTTTTTATTACATAGGTCCTTAATGATGGCTTAATGGTCATCTTTACATGTAAGTCACCACTAAGCACCTTTAAGCTATATTTAAGTAATAAATACACCTTCATTAAGTTACTGTTAAGTCATCTCAAAGTTCTTAATGGATGCACAAGGATAGCTAAGTTGACTTATAGGTGCTTATTAATAGCTTCTGGACAATATTTAAGTCACTATTAAGCCAAACTCATAGGTGCTCAATGTCCAAACTCCATTTAGCTATCATTAAACCACCCTTAAGCTATCATTAAGTTACCATTACGCAGTCGATAAAACTGCTTTTATGGCTAAAATATTGCTTTCATGATAATTACTTCTCGTAAATTATAAATGTCGAATATACACATTCGTTCATTCATCAAATATAAAGTAAAAGAACGATTTTTTTTAATTGAAAACAATAAAACAAAATATGCCCCCCTTCCCCCGTGCAGCATTCGATCCTACGACCTTTTGTTAGGAAGGCGAATTTTTTAAAAATCTTCAATTGGAAGACGAAGATTTTAGCCACTTAATATTTTGTTATAATTGGTACATGTATTTTATTTATATAGATTATGTTAATAAAGTATTAATAATTATATATATATATATATATATATATATATATATATATATATATATATATATATATATATATATATATATATATATATATATATATATATAACTTAAAATTACTTACATGTACCCGTGGAGCTTGGTATGATGTTCGGTGTGAATGAGCTTTTTTTTATTTTAATTTATTTCTCGCTCTTTTATTAGCAGTTTTATAAGCTTGATACGTTGTGTATTGAAATTCCACAATTTTAAAATTAAATTGTTATCAAAACCAAATATATCACCGAAAAGGAAAGGATAAAAAGATAGTAGTTCTTATAAATATGCTGCGGATATTTACTAGTTTTTTGTGCTAAATAATTGACAATCTTTGTGTGACATTTGGTTCATGAAATGCTTTTTAACATATCGTCTTCAGTTTTAATTCTTTTTATATCATAATGGGTATCAAAATAATCGTCTTTTGGCTTACAATCCGAATCTTTAATTTGTTATGTGCTTCCATTAAATTTCCTGTTTTCTAAAAATAATTAATTACCGAGATATGTCTCTGTACGTTAATTGTGCATAGTATGATCCTGTTAGCTGAACAGGGACTGGGGGGATATCTAATTAAGGTCTATTGTCTCACCAGTCGATATACTGTACCCTGTGTTATTTTACCCTGCTTTCAACTAAGTATAAATCTGTTCGGATGTTATGTTTAAAATTTATTTGGAAATAACGCAGCGTTTTCTTTTTTCCCAATCATTTTATTTAATATAAAACATTAAAAATCGACTATGATCGATGATACATCTTTACTTTTGAATTATTTTAAAAGAAAATCATTTTATGTTACTTAGGATACATCAAAGGTTTCCAAATGCCAGAATTGAATTTGCATGTATTTCTTTCATTATCAAAGATTACATTATAAAAGTATATATCATTTGAAAGCTTGTTAAATTTACTATTTAATTATTCTAAGAACAAGGTACGGTTTCAGTACAAATCTTGCCATGTGTTTTTTCTTAAAAATGAAAGTGATGTAAAAATTAAAACTCATGCTTTCTGAATCATTGAAATTCCATGCAGAAAGATCATACATATCATTTTTCTCACATGACCTTCTAAATGCTAATTGTGACGTCATAAACTTGTGTATTTTCCCTTATTTTCTTAAAAAGTTGCAGAAGACACCAATTTTCAATGGAATTTTCTTTCAGATAATATTGTCCACAGGCATCGCCCACAAAGATTTTGAGATATGTGATTTTTCAAAGAATTTTACACAACATATCAAAAAATTAAAGTGGGCGACGGCTGTGGACACTATTTTCTTAAGGAAAATAACCCTTGAACTGGGTCATTTTGAGCCCTTTTCTGTATAAAATAGAGAAATGCATCAAATTAATGACGTAATATTTCCAGAATGGTACTCCTTCATGCCATATTCTTTCCTGATTTATCACAGCATATACTTAACTAATATTTAAGCCAGTTTAAAACTTTTTGAAAACATTAAATTTTTAGGGCATAATAAAGATAAAACCGTACCTTCTTCTTTAATTTTTAATTAATACATGTAACTTATTAAAAAAATATTTAAATATTAATGTAAATTTTAGTGCATGAATATTTTATAAATCACTTTTTTTGTCTTTAACCCCTCAAAGTGGTAATTTTGCCTCAAGGTAGATTAAAGATTGAACTTAAAAACTGTATATCAGAATTTTGATTAATCTTCCAATTCAAAAGTTACAGCCATTTGCCCTTCAATGTTACCAATTTATTAGCCTAATTTAACAGTTCCCTCAGTAATTCCAAACCTAAGCTAGGTATCAAAAATCCGAGACACTGTTTTGTGAACATACATTTGAGAAGCAACCCATCCAATTTTTAGAGAAATTGGTCAATAAATAAGGAAGCTGAATCCTTTGAAATAATACCACAAACTCTCTGCTCTTACTTTACAGTAGAGGGGCAAAAACCCATTACACAACAAAATCTGCCAAAGCTAGGAATATATGACACCTTGGAGATTCAGCTTTGGATACCTGTCACTTAGCCATATTCTCCATGCATATTCACAAGAATGGGAGGTTCTTTTCTGTATTTAAGTGCTTTTAATTAGGTAAAATAGGTTCAATTCTGAATCAGGAAGATTTCCCGGCAAAATAGCAAAATCTAAGCTCCACCTCATATTTAATGGTCATCAGTGATCTGTTAGATCTCCTTCTCTAAATCAAAAGTCCCTGTAGTTTGATTACTGATGACCTCTGTGTGGCTAGTGAAGAATTCCCCAAGTAGTCACAGTGATATATTGCGTCTTTCTTGAGCAGGCAGTCACAGATCAAATCAGAATCTTCAATTACGGAACATCCACATGTGGTAGTGTTTATGTTTCATTATTGTTTAATGATTAGAAAACCATTTCATAATAACCAGAAATTTTACATGCATTATAAAGAAGTGATAAGCTTTTTTTTTTCTTAGCCAAAAATCTCAAAATTGTTGAAAATCATGAAAAAAAGCCTTTGGTGTATCCTTAACCAAAAATTCACCTATACTTCTTTTTAATCTTAAACATTTCTCTACCCAAAGAAAAAGAGACAAAGAGAGATAGCAGTAGTGTCTATTATAAGTCTGCATAATTTAATGTCAAAGTTCAATTTATTCAATATACGGAATACCAGAAAATGACTCTATATTACAATATTTCCTATAAACACATTTCCTCTGCACACACGAAAGAAAAACACAACGTGATTTTTTTTTTAATTTCATATAGAGTGTGTGTTAATGTTGAAAATAATTTTAAAACAAGTATTTAAACAAACTGAGTTTTTTGGGATAGCGAAAATTTGAAAGCACTAAAAGGAGCTATTCCCGAGTTTATACGCGTTGACAATAAATGTTACACTTGTCAAATTATGAACTGAATATTAAGATTTCGCGTGAATGATTCTGAAATATAATTTAAACTTAACAAATTAGTTTAAAAACTTCATGCGTAAAGGTAGTTTAAAGATGACGTAATCGTGGATGAATAACGTTTGGACATTAAGTTACCATTAAGCTGCAGCTTAAAGGTGGCTTAATGGTAGCTTAAAGAATTTTGGACATTTAGCATCTAGAAGCTGCAGCTTAATGGTGGCTTAAAAGAATTAACTTCTTTAAGCCACCTTAAAGCCACCATTAAGCGATTGCTTAAAGATTTTTTTTCGTCCAGTGAACAATATTGTTATTTTATGTGTCTGCAAAAATCTAAAATAGTGAATGTTTTATATGTTCAAGGGATTTAAAAAAAGACTTCATAGTGTTTTACTCTTAAAAATGTTTTTAAAAAACAAAACAACAACAAAAAAAAACCAACAACAACACAACACCAATAAGGGAAATAACAAAAAAAAAAAACTATATTTAGTCGCTCACTACGTTATTTTACTTCATCGCCTGAAAATCATGTTGATAAAAATTGTTAATATTATAATTATCTAATCGCTACCTCGATAAAAAGTGTTCATTACAAATAAATATAACCATCTGTCAAATAATGTGCAGTATTTAAAGGAGATTTAATTTTACAAATAATTACAGGCTTCAATACTCGGGAAAAAATTATAATATTGCCAAAAGTAATGTGAATATTTACCTTGCGTAGTACTATGAATCATTTCGAAGTTGGAAACATTTTTTGAGAGCTTTTCTTGTCGGAAAAGCATGTCCTTTTTCAATATTTCCAGTGAACGATTCACTCTTTCATAGATTTGGTTATCATTTTCTGCAAGTAGTTCAGTAATGCTCTCTTCAATATGTGTGACATTTTTTGTCAACTGGTTTAAAGTTTCCCGTTTTAACCTTTGATTTTCTATTTTAATTCTTTTCATGTCCTTCTGTAGGTTTTCCGTAATGGATTCTAAAGTTTTCAAATTTTTCGTCATATCAACAACTTCTTCAATGAGGTCTCGAACACTTTTCTCTAAAGACATTCTAATGATAGTTTCTTGGTTTAACAGTTGTTGAAGAATATCCACGCGTTTTGTAGAACCTGTTGTTTTGTCCTTTTCGTCATTGGTTCTGTCTGGTAATATTGACAGTCCATTTACTTGAATAAAAACAAAAGAAATCAACTGAAAACAAAGAAAGTTTTGCTTCATGTTGAATAATTGAAGTGTACTGAGAGAAAATTAGAGACAAATGTTATTCAAACCATGACTGTCTTCTTTTTATATCAGGTTTGTGGAAGGGAACGCCTGATGCCAAGAATAAAATATTGCATGGATTATTTGCACGTGCATTAGAATCTTTATCTACAGTTTATTGCAAGTACATTTCACTTTTTATCAATTATCTTGACTAAAATTTTTAAAAACCTTTACACATTTAAAAAAAAAAATGAGATAACAGTGTAAATATAAATACCCTTACCTTTCCTTTAATTATGTTTTCACTTAGGTTACCTATCTCAGAAGTAAACGTCACTATGTCATATTGAAAAGTGACTTAGAATATTGACTATTGGAAACAAATTTGAGTTTTTTTTTTTTTTTTTTTGTTTGTTTTTTTTTTTTTTTTTTTTTTTTAACTGAAGACCAAATGTTCAGTAGATAGTGAATTGTAATCCGGGATGTAACTTTGGAACACTTTTAAATAACTGGATTTTATTGTTCACACTAGAATAAATTTTGTGCCTGATGATGAAATGCTAAATCTAAATTTCAAATTTCAAAATTCAAGATAATGCCAAAAGGATATGGGGCACTAGGTAGTTGCAATGTGAAAAGAAATTGTAATTTAAAAACGGAATTTGCGATTTTTTTATTGGAATAAATTCAAACTTATCGTTTTTCTTGAAGACCTACGTGCATGTGTTATCAAATTCACGAAAGTAATTAACAGCATAAACAATATATTTTAATTGAAAACTGATTAGCAAGTACATTTAAGGATAAAACCAACCTATAGGTATTCAAGTATCAGGAATACATTGCACGTTTTTATTCTTATTTACGGTAGTTCTACATGAACTATATGTACATTGTACTGTTAATACGTTTTAAAAACAACGTAATATCATTGTAAGATATCACATATCACTTCCAATTTCATTCTATGCTCTTAATCATTGGAAAATAAGGAAATAAGGAAAATAAAGGAAATAAGGTTTCTTTAAGAAATGTGGAAATCCTATCCTTTATAGGGTCAGATATCTACTCATATATTTTACAAGACAGTTTCAAAGACTTCCAAGAAACTTGGTTCACAGAACTATGCATGGGATACATTTTTTAAAAAAGAATTTTAATTCTAAACTTCATTTGTAAGACTTATTCAAATAAAAAAAAAAATTAAGAGTTGTTGTTCCTAACTGTGGAAAAAACGTCCTGTATTTGGCTGTATTTCTTCAATTATATAGAGGTGCTACAAGGTTACAAGATTATCTTGTTGCCATACATTATACACTGTATGTATAGATACTGAACTTTTATTTCATTGAACACTTTTAAAGATTTCCTTTAATTTGTTTTTTAAATTTTCTGGTAAACTGGCCTGGCATATTTTTTCTTCAACAGATGCAGACATTTTTTTCTATTATCTAGACACAATTGCAATTAAGGGACTCCTTATATGTTATTTTTAACCCAATGCTGCCTATGTTTCCCCCTGTCATTTTAAACAGATTTGTTTTCAAATTTAGATCATTCCTTACTGATTTTTGTGACATTTCCACAAACTAAAATGCTTATATAATTTTATAAATAATATGTATATTGTAAGATATTTATAACAGAAAGTAAAATGAGAGAAGTTTAAATTTGTTTTCAGTCGAAATCTTGAAAAGGTAGAAAGAAATATCAGAATCAGAGAATTATTTTCTCTTCTCTTATTCATTTAAAAAATTCGTATATCTATATAAAAGAAAAAAAATTGGTATTGATTATTTACGAAGATACGGAAAATTGTTTAGAACAGGTGGATTGCACGTGCCCCTATTTATATTGGACGCAATTTTCAGTCTTTTTACCCAAGTGTATTGCTGTTGTGATCCGGATTCGTTTCAGATCTTGAATCAATCATGTTGTTCGTGCGTTACATATGTCTGCGATAAACGTAATTAACATTATTTTTATGTTTATCTTATTAAATTATCTAGAAAGAATTTCCAACCTTCCAACCATCCTTGATTAATTGATCACGAGTTCCAAAAATATTTCACTTAGATAAGCTACCTTAGTAAATCATATGAACATTACAAATGATTCTTAATGATTTAAGCGCCCTTGAATACATAGAAGCAGATATTATATGTATGTGTTTAATAAGCTCAATACGATATGTTTCTAGAAAAGCTTAAGGAAATCAGAAGATTTATCTTTTATATAGTTTCCGAATCATAGTTGAAGCTGCTGCGAAGTCTTCGCAGTTCTTTTTTAGCTGTGATGTTTCCTCTTTGAGTTTAACAGCAAAATTGCTTTTCAAGTATTGCTGTTTGTATCTAGACTAGAATTTCCCATTTTTCTTCCTGAAAATATTTTTTATACAGCTTATTGATTGCTGTTTTTAACACAATAATTCATTTATACTCAGTTGTTCTCAGATATTCGAAAAAGATCATACTTTTGCAGGACATTTATCATGATGCAATGATTATTATTACAGAGAAGTAACTCATTTGATCATCCCAAATTTATAAATTAAAATTAATGAAAGATCATACAACTGAGTATCTCTATTCAGCACATTTCTTGATACCTACAGATATTTAGATTGTTTAAAGTAAATCTTAAATCTCTATGAGAAAGTTATTCTTTATTACAATTTTTAGAATGGTCGTTCGTTGTTTAACCCAAAGTTGGTATTGTTTCAGACACTTTTCTAATTTATTTTATTTAATCTTTTATTTGTTCGCTTTCTACTTTAATTAGCTGGTTGATGTTTCGAAATCAATTCAAAGACTTTGAAACCATATGAATAAACAAGAGGAAATATTTTTCAAGTTCTACATCATTCCGTGTTTTATTTAGACAAAATACACCGCGCATGTACATGTTTCCCAGCATAATACCAGGAAAACGTGTCATCATACAGCAAAAATTCCTAATCTGTAACCTTTATAATGATGCATTGTTGATACTTATCAAATCAATAAACATGGATGTACTTTCTTTGTGACATGTACACGAATTACTTGGGAACCAGTTACCAGCGATCTGTATATTTCTTGTCTATATTACAATGTCTAAATTTTCAGAGTTTACCCTTAGATATTGGTTATCTATATCAATTTGTCAAAAAATCAACAACAACAAATATCATACAGACAGCTAAATTTTTAACACAAAAATGCAACGATACATATAAATGCATAAAATAAATTATTTCCAATTTATTTTCAATATACATGTATTACATTAACAACAATCTGTGAGAATTCCGTGTAATGAATACACGAAGTCCCATGTTTGCTATATGTATGATAATTTTTATCATTTCATTAAATTAGCTCAGATGTTTATATATAAATCCAAATAATATTTGATTTCATGTAGTATGGTACACCAAGTCACGGTAAGTATTTTTTTTTTTAAATTTCCTGATCAAAGCTTCTATAATTAAAAAAAATGTCCATTTTACATTTTTGTATACTGAGACCATCTTCTTTAACATACATTTCAAAAAGAAAAAAAAGCAATAGTGTTTGCAAATATTTTGAACATTTAGATATTTTTCAGACACCCACGCACCCGCCTTCTTTCAGAAAAAATAGCTTGCCCCTTCAGTGGTTCTTTATATATCTGATGCTAGAGATACTTATATATAAAAAAAATACCCGTACCTCTTATCGATCTTATAACCACGTTTGATTATGAGGAATTTGAATCGTTAGTGTGATTGTATTGGGTTCTTTTTTCCTTTCCTTTATTAAAGATACAAGAACAATATTTATTCTTAAAGATCAGTATTTCTAAAAGATGGAGAGGACATATTTTTCAAAAAATAATCTTTGAAAGATGAAATAAAATTAGGAACACAAATAGTCATCTTTGATTTGTCAGGTACCTCTAAAGATATATAACCTGAATAGCAGATCGCTATATTTCCTTGTACTTAGTTCGATTTTATTTTCAAAAATATTTATATTTAGCCACTGTCAGTTGTATATACGCAATTTTACCCCCCAAAACAAATCTCTTAGCAATATCTATTATGTAATGTGTTAAATTAGGTTTAGTTATATATTTGTTAATTATGCAATGCATTGTCTCAGGGTTTTTTTTTTTTTGGGGGGGGGGAGGGGGAGGGGGATCTTTTTCATGTTCAGCCAATAGTTACAGAGCGATCACATGATGGCTATCAATGTTAGGTGCTTAAGCTGCAAGTGTTTGTGTTTTGTTTTGCTCTGATTTGTAAAGAAAAATATACCAACCATCACCCAGTTCAACCGTCCCATTGGTAGTAAATTTTCATATGAAGAATTGTCAGGTTGTTTCTCAAATAGTGTTTCTTTCCACCTTATTATTTCGCCATAAATGTTTGATGAAATTGTATATTGATTACTATCGTGCTGTACTTTTAAGTTTTGGGAAACCCAAACCCAGATGTGTATACAACTTGCCGAGAAACATAGGATCTCCCAATTTTCATGTGTTACCTTTGTGTCATTGATAAATGACATATTTACAATTACATTCATTCTTAGTTATGTATTCTGGCTGAAAAAATAACGGAGCTGCGGAAAATAGTATGTTTAAAATTTTCATTATTAGCATATTGATTGATTGATTGCATGTTGTTTACGTCCCATGAGAATTTTTAAATCATAAAGAGACGTTACCATATACCGGTGAAGGGTAAAATTTAGACTTATACTCGGCACTCAGGGTCATTGAACAGTGAGGGTTCTTTGTCATGCCAAGGCCTAGGCGAACCCGGCCCTCTCGATCACGAAGCGAACGCCCTACCGCTAGGCTACCGTAACCGTTCTTAGCATATTGAATGGATAAAAGGATTTGTCGTTCTTGGAACAAAGTTCACAACTATTGATGACAGCATTATTCAAGTCTTGATTTTTAAATGTTATTTATTCTTTATGTCTGCTTCTTTTCTTTCCTTTCGTTTAGAATTAGTCTACTTCTTATCATTAAGCATTAACCAGAGATTTCAAAATCAGAACTGGCAATTATGGACGACAGCTTGTTTAGTTTACTATCTCTTTTTGTTTAATAAAACAATACTTGTACATATCAAATAAACTTATGTGTCTTTGATCTGTCAGAGTACATACTGTATTTGAGTATGAATCTATGAATGGCATTATCGGTCTGTGGTCCCACCTACTAATGTCGAAAGGTGAATTTGATAAATATATAAAATCAAATTATTTATATAAAAATAAGATTTATGTATCATAAACTAAAGAGAGACAAGACGAAATCGAATGTTAAATTGTGTCGTCTGCAGGACCACCCCCCCCCCCCCCAATCGACCCAATTTAAATTAGCTAAGCAAGTCAAATGAAAATCGAATGAAAACTTGTTTGGTTTAGCTACTCTTTAAGGAAAACTTAAATCTTGTCTTTATCACGCGAAATAAGTATATATCATGATTAGTTATTTATTCAATTTCTTTTTAGCTACTTATCTCTATGCAAATCTGATGCTACTCATTATTTGCAATCTGAATTTTCCGTTTGTTTAAATAGATAATCAAAATTTGTCTATATTGCACATTTTGACAAAAATTGACATAAAAACAATTTAATAAAATCGTTTGTCCATTTCATAAGATTTTTCGATGATATAGTTTTTTTTTCTTTCAGAACAGAATATGCCCTGAGAAATAACACCAATCCCCAATGGCTTCTTGTCCATAGCTGGAGTGAGTTTGGATCCAGACCGTCTGATTGACCTTCATTTGCACGATTGCCGAAGATGAACATTGAGCATTCTCTCTCTTGCTCGTAATATCTGCACAATAGTTGGTACCCAAAACTGTACCTTCTCTTACTAACTCAGTAATGAAATATTTTTTATTCCTTGCCAATGTTGTCCAGTCAAAATGGTATATTCCGTCAATAAGTGCTGTGAACTTCCCACTCTTTTTATTGTATGCGTTGCCCTTGTTCAAGAGTGTCTTCTCAAATAGTACTACTTGGCTATTTTCCAGATTACGTTTTGAAGACGTCATCTTTGCATGAAAAGCCACAATCGATGTTAGTTGTTTTGATCCTAAAGATGCAGAGAAATATGTTAAATGTCCTTACATAAAAACGTATGTTGAAAAAAATTCTTGGGTGCTTCAAGCATTTAAAGTTTCATTCAGCATAGGGAAAAAAACAATGAAACAGGGCGACACCAATTTAATTTCTTGTTTCGGACCCGCATGCTCGTATTTAAAAGAACTGTTAAAATATATGATGATATTTAAAAATTCCAGCTTAGGGATTTCGGTTCCATTCCATGCCCTATTTACCGTTTAAGTTTAAAAATTGGTCATGACTGCGCGTAAAATATAAAAGTGAATTTTGGTGTCAATAAAATCAGAGATTTTTCATAGAGAATTTACAAGAGTAGGACAGCTTATTTGAAGTATCTGTTCCCGTTATAAAAATAACAGAAAAAAGTTTAAAAAGTGCTCCTTAGAGTTAAGAAAATTTATAAATAAATAAACTTATCCATTGAGAGTTAAAGGGAGCGGATCTGCAATTTTCGTTAAGGCTAAATATTTCAACATTGTGCCATGGACGTAAAGGAATTACGGAGACGCTTGGATGTAGGTGTAAGGAATTCATAATAGATAAAAATATGTTCTTATTCTAAATCTTTCTATGTCTACACGTACATTTAGATGCATCTATATCATTTCTAGGAAAGGAGAACTGGGGAAAACTTCTGAAGTGCTTCTTGAACGAGTTATGTGGCATTTGAGGTCCCCATCTTTTAAAACTATTCTCCCGAGATTTTGGTGTTGCTTCCTGAATTTCTACAGTAAAAACACACAGGACTCTTATAGTAAGAACAGATTATATAGTGCAGATACATGTATGTATGGATCGGATTCATCAAGTAGGTCGTCAGCTGACCCAGAGTGTATACACACTGGAGGTAGATAATACCTCCCTTAAGCTAAAGAATAATCGGTTTACATCAAGACAAATTTATATGCAACATCATCCTTGACAACTAATTCCAAACAGTCATGGTCAACTGTAACTAAGGATCCGCCACAAGAAAAGCATCTGTCTATCTTGATTCATTGAACTAGCTTCTCATAAAATTAAAGGCACTGCTTTCCAAACTATATCAATAAATTATTGAAAATAAGTTGTTTCTATATTGCAAATGTAGCAAAGTCTCATTTTACAATAACTGATATTCTTAGTTCTGTGTTTACTACAGTGTATATATTTGTAAATTACTATACATGTTTAACTTACAAAAACTGGCATCAATTGTGAATGATAATTAGTTATGACAAATACTTATTGACCATTCTATTCTGGCCCTGTATATTTTTTCATTCGGAGAATTACAAGTTGTTGCTATATCTTAAGTCTACCTCTGTTAAAATGTCCAAGTACAAGAAAGAACAGTGATAGTATTGTTGGTAGAATTGATCTGTTTTTTTGTACAAGTATTTAGTCTTGGCCAATTAAGCATGCAGATACCTATGGATGGATAATTTTTGGAATTATGTGTGTGTTATTTATTGAAGATTTATTTACATTTATACGTTTGAAGAACTTTTATCAAATGTTCCATAATGCATTGCAAAAAGTACAAGAATGATTCTTCGTAAATTATTTTTTAAATTACATGTGGAGTAAAATCAAGAAGTCACTATAGGGTAAGCTATATCAACAATATTGCTATGCACTTTTATGTGTCTTCAAAAATATAAAATATAGAATGTTTTATTTGTTCCAGGAATTTAAAAAAGAACTCATGGTGATTTACTCTTTAAAATGCAAGAAGAAAACAAAACAATATATAACCGCTCACTCCGTTATTTTACTTCATCGCCTGAAAATAATAGTATTACAATTGTCAAATCGCTCGCTTGCCCCAATTTTAGGGGGGAGGGGAGGGGGTAGTTGTCCTAAGAACAAACAGTTTTATTGGTGTGGCCGGCCTAAATTGTTGAAAAGAAAAATAGTATTGTCTTATTTCATTGTGCTCAAAATATCTCTTCAAACAATCTTAGATAATAAAAAAATTAAGGAGGAGAGAACATACGAAATTTAACTTTGAGAGCAGCTCTAGAGGTAAAGTGTCTCCGTTTCGTCATTTTTTCTCTTAATTGACAATTAATTAAATCTTAAAATGATAACGTTTATTTATTTGTTTTGTGTGTTTAACGTTCCTTGCGTGAATTTTTCACTCAAATTGACCACTTGCCGGTGGAGGACTGCAAATGTAGACCCGTACTCGGCTTTTACGGCCTTTTTAACAGGGAGGGTCTTTCCCTTTTCCATGCCAGCACGAAATGCATGCGACACGGGATCTCGGTTTATACGGTCTCATCCGACTGACCGATCTGCACGTCCCGCAGTGGGATTCGAACCGGCGACGTAAGGATCAACTCCTTATTACTCTGCGACTCTAGAGCAAAAGCTCTACTACCGCGCCTGCGTTTATTTTTAAAGGTGCTTAGAATTACCGCAATACATAACAAATAACAACAAGTTTGACCTTTCAAAATAGCCATTGCTTTTTTCCCAATTGATAACGTGTCTTCTACCTTAATTGGCGCTATATTTTTATAAATATTAAATGCAGACTTTATGTCTGATGCATCGAGAAATATGTCCAGCTGTTTACTTCACTGAAACCGTGGACACCAAATATTCAGTTTCATGTTTTTGGGAAGAACCCGAGTAATTCAAGATTTTTTCCTGCTTCATTTAACCGTGTGCTCAATACTGGCTTATATGATGTAAACACAATTTCTTGTTCAATAGCATTGTAGTACTCTGCTATACCCTGAAGAAGATTTCACCATGCATCTGATACATACATGTATCATGGATCGAGCAATTTTAACAAATCAGATCGTCAAAGACAATGAACAATACACTGTGCTAGATTTGTTTTTACATGCGTTTAATTTTCGAAGACAAATATCTTATATATATATATATATTACTTCGTACTACAGATTAAGAGCAGACATAATATTATCACCAATCAGAAATTGACCCAATGTTATCAAACGTATGTGGTATTATTAATGTGTAATTTTACGTTACTGTCTAAATGAAATAATTAATTTTGATTCAGTTGATCAATTGAACATAATTTAATATTTACGGTTTTTATATCTATAGAATCCTTCCTTCGTAAAATAAATAACTAATATAACAAACGGAGAAAACAACTTTTTTTTTTTTTTTATAAATATTTACCTATTTTCTTGGATCTTTCATAAATAATTTGATTTGATTTTTTTTTTTTTTATTTTTTTTTTATTTTTTTAAACGAACACGATTTTTCTTTCCAATATAACTTCTGAAAAGTTGCATTTATCCACAAAGATTTGATTATTTACTCTCAAAGTACCTTGTGTCATGTTTTCTTTTTTATATTTCTACAGGAAAAATCACTGAATTGGATATTTAGGCTTTAAGGTAAAAAAATTTAGATCCATCGTAAATTCACATTGATTTCTATTTTGAAAAAAAAGACATCTAAAAGATGACTCCGTTTACTCCTCCTTTTTTGTAAATTAACTACGAACAATGTACATTTCAATACAATTGCTTTATTTAACTTAAACTGTAAAAAATTATTTCAAAACAGAAAGATTCCCACACTTATTGGCGGTTCGCTAGTTTCGTATTTTATTAACCGGTAATTGCTTTAAATGAAATACACATCGGATCTCGTGGATTGTTAAAAATAAAATAAATTAATTACAAATAAATACAACATTTTGTCAAATGATGTGCAATATTTAATAATATTGCCAAAAGTATGTGAATATTTACCTTGCTTAATACTATAAATCTTTTCTAAGTTGGAAACATTTTTTGAAAGTTGTTCCTGTCGTAAAAGCAGTTCATTGTTCAGTATTTCCAGGGAACGATTCACTCTTTCATAAATTTGGTCATCCTTTGTTGCAAGTAGTTCAGTAATGCTCTCTTCAATATGGGTGATATTTTTTGTCAACTGGCTTAAAGATTCCCGTTTTAGCCTTTGATTTTCTATTTTAATTCTTTTCATGTCCTTCTGTAGGTTTTCCGTAATGGATTCTAAAGTTTTCAAATTCTTCGTCATATCAACAACTTCTTCAATGAGGTCTCGAACACTTTTCTCTAAAGACATTCTAATGATAATTTCTTGGTTTAACAGTTGTTGAAGAATATCCACGCGTTTTGTAGAACCTGTTGTTTTGTCCTTTTCGTCATCGGTTCTGTCTGGTAATATTGACAGTCCATTTACTTGAATAAACACAAAAGAAATCAACTGAAAACAAAGAAAGTTCTGCTTCATGTTGAATAATTTAAGGGTAAATTAGAGGCAAATGTTATTCAAACTAGGACTGTCTTCTATTTATATCAGGTTTGTGGGAGGGAACGCCTGATGCCAAGAATGAAACATTACATGGATTATTTGCACCTCACGTGCATTAGAATCTTTATTTACATTTGACTGCAAGTACTGTGTAGTTTTTATCAATCATCTTGACTGAAATTTTTGAAAACCTTTACACATATAAAAAAAAACAGATAAAAGTGTAAATAAAAATATCCTTACTTTTTCTATAACTGTTTTCAGTCAGGATTCATGTCTCAAATGTAAAAATCACTGTCATATTGAAAAAGTGACTTAGAATATTGACTATTGGAAACAAATTTGAGTGTTTTTTTTTTTTTAACTAAAGACCAAATGTTAAGTAGATAGCGAAATATAATCCTGGCTATAACTCTGGAACACTTTTAAATTACTGGATTTTATTGTTCACACTAGAATAAATGTTGTGCATGATGATGAAATGCTTAATCTAAATTCCAAAATTCAAGATAATTTCAAAAAGATATGGGACACTATGTAGTTGCAATGCGAAAAGAAATTGTAATTTGAAAATTTGTGATTTTTTTTATTGGAAGGAATTCAAACTTATCGCTTTTCTTGAAGACCTACGTGCATGCGTTATCAATGAAATATATGGAGATAACGAACAGTATT